AGGTTCGACAGTGCAGGGAAGCAAGAGGAGACTGTGTGAGAGGGAACAGGCCGCGTTGGAGAAGTTAGAGACACTTGTGAGCAACCAGACTCTGAACATGCTACCAGGGTCCCTCTGGCTTGGCTGCTCTGTGCACGGCTGTTCCTAGGGGTGTTAGCCACAGGAAGACAGGCCAGGAGGCTTCTTCCTCAGGTGACGATGCCACTCTTGGCCCGGTTGGTCACCAAGCCGGAGAATTGTACTGTTCGATCCGGGGCTCTTCCCCAGGACAGCCTTCTGGCTCCTTCTCTTGGCCAATTGAGTGCTTCCTGTTTGTTCTGGAGGGTCCCGTGGAGCAGGTCCAGCCACTGGCCTCGGGGCCTCGTGACCTGGCCAGGGAAATAAACAGCTCAGAGCTGAGAAGGCCAGGCAGCAAGTCGGGTGACAGGGCTGGCACTGGGGACCTCGCAGACTTCGCCTCACTTCCGTCCTGCCATTTGCTGGCTAGTGGCAGGCCTTGGGCGAGGTGGAAGTTCGTCTTCGCTGTCCCTTCAGGAAGAGTGGACAGCATGAGGTCCTGGCTGAGGGGGAAAGGCAGGGTGGACAGCAAGAAAGCCTCCCGTGACTCTTACTAAAAGCTACTTATTGGCTTGGTGATGGAGGGGTGGATCTGCTGCCCCTGGGGCCCCCAGGAAAGGGACCAGAAGGGCACAGGAGGGGACCGGAAGCTGGTGGGCCTAAAGGAAAGCATCAGAGGTGTCAACCCCAGCTGTATCCCCAAGGACAGACTGAAGATGGGATGGCAGAAGGACCCAAGGAGGATACTGGGGAGGAAGAAATGGACTGCAAAGGAGCAGAACTGTGGCAGGACGTGGTGTGGAAGGGGCTTGAAGCAGTTGGAGCCGAAAGATCAAAAGATCATTACTGAATCAAAGGCGGCTAGACCAGGAGATTGGGGCCGGGGGTGGGGGGTGGGGGGTTGTAGCCTAAGGTGCCTTTGGGAGACACTTTCTGCTTGTTCACTTATTTCCAGGGAGACAGGAAGTCTCTTTTTTCCTGAAAAGGAAACAGTGGGCCAACTGCTATTGAGGACCCTGAATAGAAGATGAAGGATGGTTCCATTTGTTTGGAGGAGGGGGCCTTCTGCACTGGGACCACATTGCCCAGGCCTCCACCAGCAGTGCTCAGTCTCCCATACCTGTGGTGCTCAGGGGACCGTGTGGTGCTGGGGAAGAAACCAGGACTGGCCTGACGCGAGGCATGCACTACACCCTAAACTCTTTTATGGGGAGATGGAACAGAGGGCCTGGACACATACCAGGCACCAGATTGGATATGTGACACTGCATGGCCTCCTCAATGCAGCTGGGTGTGGTCCTGGTGCCCCCCAGCACCATGGGGTGCCCCCCAAAATTATTCTATAGCGTTTTTCTCTATAATAGAAAGAAATATTAAAATTTGAAAAAGAGGGCCGGAAAGATAATCCAGTGGGTAGGGCGTGTGCCTTACATGTGGCCAACCTGGGTCTCTTGGCACCCCCATATGATCCCTGGAACCCCGCCAGTAGTGATCCTTGAGCACAAAGCCAGGAATAAAGCCTGAACACAGCTACGTGTCGCCCCCCCAAAAGTAAAATAATTAGAAAAAGAGAGTGAATCGTCTTAAGGAGCTAAAATGTGAGATCAAAACAAGGTAGCAAGTGAGTGTCCTGAACGTTGTTCATAAGCCTTGCGCCCTCCTTGTGTGCATTAATAAGAAAACTTTATATTTGGACCACATTTCAACAAACGCAGAAATTAGAAAATAAAACTTAGCAGTGCAAAAAACAAAAACAAACACCCAAACTTCCTACTTGGAAATTTAAGAACATGCTTCTATATTACTGCGAGATTAAAAATGAAATGAAAATAGTAGAACAGGCTGCTTTAAGTAGAACTAAAAGAGGGCTGTTTTCCTGAATGTAGAAGTGAAGTTGGAGGCACACGTAGGGGAAATTGTAAAGCTTTAAACGCATTAATTAGAAAACAAGAAATGCTAAAATTAAATGAGCTAAACATTCTGTTCAAGAAACTAGAAAAAGTTTAAATAAATAGAAGCCAGAGCGTAGCACAGTGGGGAAGGTGTTTGCCTTGCACATGGCCGACCCCTGTTCATTCAATCCGTGGCATCCCATATGGTCCCTCAAGCACCACCAGGAGTAATTCTTGAGTGCAGAACCAGGAGTAATCCCTGAGCATCACTGAATGTGACCCAGAAAGAAAAAAGAAAGATTAAAAGATAAACCTAAATGCAGTTAAAAGAGTAAGTAGCTTAAAATGAAAACAAAAATTTAATTTACTAACAAAGAGAAAGAGTTGACTAACAAAACCAAAAGCTGTGGGTCATGTTTTGTTTTTATGTTAAACAAAAAGTATGTAAGCCTTTGCAAATTAAAATTTTAAATAAGATAACACACAAAATACATTCAACTGGGAGGGTGTAAATAAAAATATGAGGTTTCAGATCCTAAGGGACTTTCATATGCAGCCTTATTCCTGTATAAAATATTAAATGTACAAAAAAGCCTAAAAGAATTTAAAGCCCTAGAAGAAATTTTAAAGGTTGTCAAAGATCTGTCACCAGGTTCTAAGCTTCCTTCCAAGGAGTCCCAAGAAGAAATCAAGGAAGAGAATGTTGCCACATAGGAGCAGAAAGAAAACATCCTGACTCTGATAATGCCTGTTAATGTTTACCACTGAAATGGGCACCAAAAGGAAGGACTTCAGATCAACCTTGGAAATTTAAAAACCCTACATAAAATATTAGCAAAACAGTAGAAAGGAAATAAGGACACTTGTTTTCAAACTTATTATCCTGGTTGAAGAAAAATCATTAGCTTGAAGGGGATTGTGGCACAATGAGAGAATTTGCCACGCGAGGGGGGTCCTGTGTTTGAGCCCTGGCACCACCACCAAAACACAAAGCAAAACAAACACACTTCATATGTTTTTCACATGAAAAAATTTTTTCGTGGGGTGCTGGAATGATAGATAGTAGCATGAGTAGAATATTTGCTTTGCATACAACTAACCCGGATTTGATCTAAGCACTGCCAGAATGATCTATGAGTTCAGAGTCCGGAGTAAGCCCTGAGCACCAACCGGGGTGGCCCCAAAAAAATTTTGCGGGGGATGGGAGGGCGATCTGGCTGTGATATATGTCACCCCACTGGTCTCCAGCGTTGATTGGGCTGACTTGGATGCGCAGGTGGGTGTGCGTTTCTTTTGCGTCTCTCCCAAAGCTGCACGCTCCGTTGAAGATGGCAGCCTTCCCCAAACAGAGATGGACCATTCCTTAGTCAAGGGTGTATGAGTAGCTGTGCTGCCCTGCTAGAACCTCCAAACAAGCTCTCTCAAAATGGTGGGGCCCAGGGAGGTGGCAGTATGCATGCCTTCCATGTGGAGGATCTGGGTCCCATGCCCAGCACTGAACACACACCAAAAATAAAAATGCAGGGGCCAGAGAGATAGTACAGAATGCACTTGCCTTGCGCACAGTTGACCTGGGTTCAATCCCCAGTCACCCTATGTGGTCCCCTGAGCCCTAGCAGGCATGATCCCTGAGCACCTCTGTGTGTGACCCTAAGAAAAACAACAACAAAAATTAGAAACATTTGAAATGCAACAATACTCTAACTAAAACCAATAAAATAGCCTTAAAAGCCTTAGAAAGCCAGCCAGGAGTAAAACATCCCCCACAATCTATAGCAATATCACACTTCTGGCAAATCTTCAAAAGCCTTCCTTCAAGATTAGGAAGAACAAGAATGCTTCCTGTCACTTCTGTGATATATAGTCTGTTGGAGAGATTAGCCTTTGCAACAGGACAAGAAAAAGAAAATTATAAGTTTTGGTAAAAGAGAACTAAAGAAAACCGGCATTATTTTTTGCAGTTAAACAACCTAACTAAATGACTCTAGTCCATAATTTTTTTAAAAGACTAGTCAAGTTGTAAAATCTCAGAAATAGGATAAATTTAATATATTAAAATTAATAAATGTTTTTCTAAAAGTCCAGAGGATTTAAAGGTAAGTTCCAGGCTGAGGAGATAGAGCAAAGGGCTGGACTCATGCTGTGTGTGCAGGAAGCCTGGGATTCATCCCCAGAACTACATAGCAAACCCTAAACCAGGAGTGGTCCCTGAGCACCTCCAGGTGTGACTCCAAAACAGAATGAAAAAGGAGAAGTCTAATAAGCTTGTTGTGAGAGAAAACATGAAAGTCTACAAGTCACCATTTTAAAATTCGTAGAATTTGACTAGACTGAAAAAAAAAATTCCTGCAGCCTTACCTCACAGAAGACACCTGTTAAAAATCTATCCTTCCCAGAGCCGGAGTAATAGTACAGGGGTGAGGCATTTGCCTTGCATACAACTGATCTGGGTTTGATCTCCGGCTTCCCATATGGTCCCCAGAACCCACCAGGAATGTTCTCTGAGTGCAGAATCAGGAGTAATCCAGGACACCTCCAGACATGGCCAAAATCCAAAAAAACAAACCCAAAAATAGGGACGGGGAAATAATCTATTGTACCAAACTAATGATATTTAAAAACTATCTATCTCCTTGAAGTCCATGTGCTATCTTAGGCAAAATAACATAATGAGCGTGTATAAAGCTATGGGACCAGAGTCAATAGAGATGTTGACACAGATTTGACAGCAGAGATCACAGGCGCAAGATGAGAGTCCAAGTGAGTAGAAACAAGCCAGCCCGGAGTCCGAGGTCTAGGGCGAGGAGCACCTGGCCTCCAGAGTCTCCCACCTGGCCACCCAGAGCTGGCCGTGGCCAGAGCTCTCGTGCTCTGCCTTGATTCCCTTCCGCCCTCCCTCACGTGGCCCTGAGCTCGGTCTTTCCACCCAAGACTGCACCAAGCAAACAAAACCCAGGGGAGGACTTGGCTCACTCGGGCCTTTGACCCAGGGGGCCGAGGACTCTCGTGACTGAACCTCCTGTTCTCGTGTTCCCCTTTTTGCTCCCCTAGACCGCCCGGGCTTGCTGAACGTGAAACCCATCGAGGACATTCAGGACAACCTGCTCCAGGCCTTGGAGCTCCAGCTGAAGCTGAACCACCCCGAGTCCTCTCAGCTCTTTGCCAAACTGCTGCAGAAAATGACAGACCTCAGACAGATTGTCACAGAGCACGTGCAGCTCTTACAGGTGATCAAGAAAACCGAGACGGACATGAGCCTCCACCCGCTCCTACAAGAGATCTACAAGGACTTGTACTAGCGGAGAAGTCCCTGCCCACTGGCCTTTCCTGCTTCCGGTTGCACTATTATTTTGAGGGGAAATCTGACACCTAAAAATTTTACTGTGAAAAAAAAAAACAAAAGCATTTAAAAAAAAAAAAGAAACTGTTTTAGAATAATAGATGTATTTTATGCATATTGTTTATAAAGATACATTTGCAATTTACTTTTAATATTAAAAATTGCCACCTTATAAAATTGCTGGGTCTGAGAATGAAATGGGATCTGATCCCACCCTTGGATTCGTTCTCCTTTTGTTTCCTTCTCTTCCTTCCTTCCTTTACTTTCTTTTTTCTTTCTTTTTTATGGTATGAGGGATCGAACCCAGGGCCTTATACATGCAAAGCCAGTTCTCTACCACTGACCTACCTCTTCTTCCTCACCTGTGTTGTTAAAATATAAACGAGAAGCCAGAGAGATCGCACAGCAGATAAGGCACACTTGCCTTCCATGTTGCTGATCCCGGTTTGATCCTTGGCATTGCATGTGAGGTCCTCTGTCCCCACTAGCAGTAATCCCTGAGTGCCAAGCCAAAAGTAAGCTCTGAACACCACGAGGTGTAACCCCCACTAAAAAAAAAAAAAAAAGAATTTAGCACTGTAGCACCACTGTCCTCCTGTTGTTCATCAATTTGCTCAAGCGGGTACTAGTAACGTCTCCATTGTGAGACTTGTTACTGTTTTTGGCATATCAAATACGCCACGAGGAGCCTGCCAGGCTCTGCCATGCGGGCGGGATACTCTCATACTCTCTTAGCTTACTGGGCTCTCTGAGAGGGACAGAGGAATTGTACCCCCATCGGCCGCATGCAAGGCAAACATCCTACCCGCTGTGCTATTTCTCCAGCCCAGAAAAAAAAATTAAGAAATAAAAATATGAATGAAACTGCTCCCAACTTCCATGCTCAGTAAATCAGTGCATTAACTGTTACTTGATTTACACTTTCTGATAATCCTCTGGCTCAGCCCCCTAAAAATGACTGAGAGGGAAGCAGGGGCGTCAGGTTCCAAAGCTGCCGAGAACTCGTGTTTCTGGAGTTGGGACTCAAACCTTCACAATCCCAACCCAGACTTCCACTGACTACCAGCCTCCAGCCCTTAGGACGCCCCCAGCCCCTGGGGCAGGGACTCTGTATAGAGCTGTGGAAAACACAAGTGTTTTCTGATTCAGGTCCTGTAAACCCCAAAGAAGACATAGCGGAACAGAAGAGCAATGCTTGGTTTATCTTAGAGCGTCAGGAGCCCAAATGGCTACGTGCCATCTGAATGCCATCTCTAAGTCCTCTAGGAACTGAAAAGAAGCAAAACTCGGGGCCAGGGAGACAGCTCGGATGGCTTAAGTGCAGCCTTGCCTGTAAAGGTCCCAGGTTCAAGCCCCCGCCCTGCCAGTGGCCCAGCCAGACTGACGCCCACCACATCCCCAGGCCTGAGCACCAAGTGTTGCTGCTTTGACTAAGAATCCCTGGAATGCTCCCGGGCTCTCTGAACACTGCTTGGCAGTCCCTTATCTTCCGCCAAAATATGAAAATTGGAAGGTGGTCTCCGAGCGTATGTTGGCTTGGGGATGGCTTTTGGGAAAGTCTTAAGTGCAGCAACAAAAAGAGTCAACACACAGGGCCAGGGTGACAGGACATTGGGGTGCACGTTTGCCTTGCACTCAGCTCACCTAGGTTCAATTACCCAGTATCCAGTATGGTCTGCTGAGCACTGCCAGGAGTCATTCCTGAGTGCAGAGCCAGAAATAACCCCTGAGCACTGCTGGGTGCTCCCACCAAAAAAAAAGAGTCCATACAAAATAAGACAGGAGTGGGGGGCAAGAATGTACCTTCTCAGGGTCGGGGAGACAGCTCAGATGTCTCCCCAGCCCATGGGAAGCAGGTGGGCTGTGCTACTGAGCACTGTGCTCCCAGGAGGTCCACTGTACAGAGATACACACACACACACACACGCACACGCACACACGCACATACACACAAGCATATACACACATATACGCGCACATACATATACACCTGCACATACACATGCACTCACATATACATACACCCACATAAACATGCACACACATGCACTCACATGTACACACACACAGACACACACGCACACACATGCACATTCATACACATGTTCCCAGGGGCCACTGTCCCAGACACACACATACATGCATATACACATACATGCACATACACACGTGCACACGCACATTCACACCCATGCTCCCAGGGGGCCACTGTTCCAGACACACACACACAGAGCACATTTAGGGAGTGCTTGCCCCACCCCACCCCCCAGCAAGTAGTGAGTTGTTTCCTAGGGACCCTGTGGGGGCCACAGTTCCTAGGGACACACCCAGTGCTGGTGGTGGCACTGTCATAGCCTCTGACCCCGTCCCTCCAACGCAGATAATTCAGTGACCTCAGGGGCTCCCCTGCGTCTCCTCCATCTGCTTCTCGGTCCTGCTGGTGTTGAGGCTCAGGGGCGTGGAACTCTCCTGCAGCGGGTTTCACACCCAAACACTGGGCGAGACCTTTTCATCCTTCAGCTCCCAGTACACAGATCGTCAGAGTCAGGTCACAAAACTGAGTCGCCATTTAAGCCCTTAAAAGGACGAGGCAGCTGCCCAGTTAAAAATCTAACTGCAGGGGTTGGAGCGATAGCACAGCGGGCAGGGTTTTTGCCTTGCACGCAGCCAACATGGCCGACCCAGGTTCGATTCCCAGCATCCCATATGGTCCCCTGAGCACCGCCAGGAGTAATTCCTGACTGCAGAGCCAGGAGTAACCCCTGAGTATCACCAGGTGTGACCCCAAAAGAAAAAAAATTAACTCCAGCTATAGCACCCAGTGAAAAATTCTGGACTTTCGGGGCTGGAGAGATAGCACAGCGGGTAGGGCATTTGCCTTGCATGTGGCCGACCCAGGTTTGATTCCCAGCATCCCATATGGTTCCCTGAGCACCGCCAGGAGTAACTCCTGAGTGCAGAGCCAGGAGTAAACCCTGTGCATCGCCAGGTGTGACCCAAAAAGCAAAAAGAGCTCGAGCAAAATAAAATAAAAATAAAAATTCTGGACTTTCTGGAGCATGCGGCCACCTTCGTGGCCACACGACATCACCAAACCCTGAAACACTGATAATCCAGTAGCAGCACTGCAGAGTGGATGGGATGTGGCATAGAAGCAGCCCATCCCAACTCACCAAACAGGAACCCAGAGGCCTAGCCTGCAGCATCTTAGGAATCCCTCAGATAACTAACGTCTCCAAGGTGAGCTACAGCAATCCACGCTAATTTTCTTCTCAGGAAATCTTTTTTGATCATTCTGTTAGCAATTTATTGATAACAAGCAATATAAAATAAGTTAAAATCAAAAAGAACGAGGCTGAGGAGTTCAGACCTTTAGAACAGCAACTCGGAGCCAGAGTGACAGAGTCCAGCAGGGAGGGCATCTGCCCTGCATGTGAATGACCCCCGGCACCCTATCTGGTCCCCTGAGCTCACCAGAAGTGATCACTGAGTTCAGAGCCAGGAGTAAACCCTGAGCACTGCTAGGTGGTGTGGCCAACAAAAAAAAAATTAATAAATAATAGAACATCGACTCTGACTTGACACGGAAACTGTTGTCTGAGTGACACAAAAACCATCGGGCAGACAGACGAGAGACCCATGGACAACGGGGCCCTGCTTCCTCCCTGGCGCCAAGTAGGGAGCTGTTTTCAAACCTCCCGGGCCTTGACTCTGGATGAGAACCCCCTGCAGAGGCAGCACAGGAACGATCTGGGCAGCCCAGGGGAAGGAGCCCGCGTGGGGCAGGTCTGCCTGAGTATTACAGGCTCACCCCAGCAAGAGCCTCTCAGGGGCCGCCTCCCCTCACGCCCACTCCAGCCAGGCTTGTTCCAACACTGGGGGCCCCTTGCTGCCAGGGTGGGAGGTATCTTCAGTGCCTTGGCACCGAGGGTCTGCAAGAAACAGCTTTTAAATCCTGGCAGCTTGCGTGGGACCAGCTCTCCTCCGTGGGGTTTGGGTGCTCCTCTTCGAAGTATTGGACGACACATCGTATCTGGTCTCCAGGGCTCCTGCCTCATTCTGCCACCCCCTACATGAGTCACAGCCCTGGCTCTCCCCAGCTCTCTCCCCCAATCCACAAACCCCCTTTCTCTAGCCATAATTTAAGAACAAAACAAAAACAGCAAATCTGAGTTTTAGCATCTTTTTTGACAAATTGGGGTATGCATGTCGGAGGGCCTCCCACAGAAGTCCAGAGGGGGGTCCCACCGACCCACACAGTAAATTCTCCACAGTCACCGAGGCAGAGGGGCGGGCTCTCTGGGGCCGGTTCATGGGTGGCTCACTCCGGGGATTCCAACAGCTTTTTCTCGGTTCCCTTGAGGCATCAAAGGCAAATGTTTCTCGTGGGCAGGCCCCAGCCTGCCAAGAATCTGCCCCGACTTGCCTCACAGTGCTGTGCGCAAAGAAGGCCAGAGCGAGGGGTGGGACCTGGTTCCCCTGACTCTGACTTCCGTGGAAATACCTCGGGGAGAGCTGCTGGGAGGGGCTCGTTTCCGATCTCATTCCCGAGAGAACCAAGTTTATCTCAGCAAGCCCAGCCCCCTGCCGTCCCCGTCCTCACTGTCACACACTCCCAGCTCTAGTTTGGGGCTCAGTGACAAAGGATCAAAGACCCTGATCCTCGTCCACTCACCTCCCCCCCTCCTGCCCCCCACATGATTCTGGGCCCTGGATCTCTATCTCTAGGGTGACGGTCAAGATTGCCTCTCTCCTCTGAGGTCACACATGGCCAGGCTCCACGAACTCCTTCTTACTCGCCATGTCCAATCATTCCAGCATATCCAGTCCACACTATGGTCAGTTGGCTCCAGATGGAGACGGGTGAGCGTCTGTTGGTGAGATCAGACCTGAGGACTGAGCACAAGTGACCAAATAGTCCAATAGGACCGAGGTGGGCTTGGAGGCTGAGAAAGGACAGTGGCCGGGGCAGAGTCAGATTCAGATCGCCCTCCCCGTCCTGGGCAGGGAATGACTTCAGAAGCTCCCAGGGGCGC